GACCGGGAGTAATTTAAAAATTCAAGGATTTAAAGCCGAATCTTCAAATAGTTGTTTTAAGATTTCAGTTCCAAACTTATTCAACCATTTCCAACTAAAGTTCATTATTCGTAATTAAATGATCAAATATATGTACATACTCGTATATAGTATTAAAATTAATCATTAATCAAAATTTTTATTTGAACTTTGATAACAATAATGACTTTTAACTATTATTAATAACTATTGCCCCAATATTGCGCTAATTTAATTTGTTTTTAAATTCTCCTCATGCAGTTTGCGTTTAAAAATAAATTTTGTTGTATGATAATAGTGTAATACCACAAGGAAATAGGATCGCAATGAAAACTCTGTACAAAACAATTTGTCTTTTGCTACAGCAATATACATATACATTTATGAATGACATTGAACATAACATTTATGTATAATATGAAACTCGTCGTTTTATAGAAGAAGCTAAGAATTAAACAAATATTCAAAATGTTAAAAGTGAATTGCATATAAAATAACAAAATCATCTACATTTTCTGTATTGCATTATACTTACTATGACGTGCATGAATGTTTAATAATTAAATTTAGTAAGATTGCCTTTTAAGATGAAGAATAAACTTTCATTTTCCATCTAAAATAAAAGTTAACCACTTACATTTTATATGTGTATAAGATGCATATTAAACTGCTTTTACTAACCTTAAGCAAGAAAAATGTGTGTACATGAATAAAGAAGAAATTGAATTTTCATTATGCAGTGTGCTACTTCTTCCGCACGTATACACTTTCCTATATGGAAAAACATTTCATTTGTTCTTATTAAGAAAATAGTTCAATGTTAGCTATGAAAAATAAAAAAAAAATTTAAAAAAAATATTAAAAAATTTCATTATAAAAAAAAAGTATAACAAACGTTTAAGTTTTCTAAGCTTTATGAACCACGTTATGTCAATATTCTTAAAATTCTGTAAGACTCAAAAAATCACTTATTGGATAGTTCATCTGTTCAGCTTTAACCCCTTTTCATCTATAAAAATGAATGTGTGTAAATACTATATATAATAATATCAATAAGCAATTTTTACTTAATAAATTTGTTTCTTAATAAAGATTTTATTAAACCCTTCCGGATATTATATTCACACATATACATAATAATATGTACTTAATATTTGATATAAACTAATTTAATATATTTTACCCTTAATTCTTCAGAGTTTAAAAATATATTTTCATTCATTCGTTTTTATAAGTATGCATTTACTTCAGAAATCACCGGTATATGGCAACAACAAACGCAACTAGTATTTACATATATATATATATACGAGTATAATTTTGCCTAAGTTACATATTTTACATGAAAAATACTTTTGATATTTAATAACATTGTTGAGATATCATTGTATACTTATTTGTGTAAAAACCTTGTTGACCTAAAATTATAATTTTAGTTTTCATATGTATGCGCTCACTATTTAAGTACTTGTATGATTTATTGAAAGTGCTACTGCAAATATTGAAAAATCATAAAAAGGTGTGTAGAAAATAAGTCATAAAATATTGTAATAAGTTTCTTTATGATCTACATAAGTAAATAATGGAAATGTATAAAATATAAAATATATTTTTTTTTGCCAAGGTTAATGAGTTTAAAACGCTCCATTGAAACAAAACTTAAATTATTTTTATATATTTAAATATTGCTATTCGCGAGCGTCAGTCATAAAAACATTTCAAAAACACTCAAGATTTTTTGTTTTTTTCACCTCTTATTCCGTCTGTAAATCCATCCTAATGAGTGCAAAAACACATGTGTACGTAAATATTATGTGGTTAACTAGAATGTAAAATCAATTTTCTTAAGGTCTTCACATTTACAAATAATTTTTTTTAAAAAATGCAAAAGAAAATTAAATTAAACCCTACAAGAAACAAAAATCTGAAAATGAAAAAATGCTGGCGCCTTAAACGTATGCAATAAATTGAGAGACATTAATTGTATTTTTCGGAGAAAAAAATGTAAGAATCATAATTTGTATTTGTAATTTTAATTAGCTATACATTAATTATTATTATTCATAAAATAACAAAAATATTCCAAGTACTAAATCCTCTTGAGGCGTAGGTTTTAATAAAATAGATTCCTGAATTTACCACATTTATCAAGTACCACATTTTTTCAGTTTTTAATATTTTAAGAATCATCGTTCCATTTGTTATTATTGTTATTATTATTAAAAATATGTTCGGCATTCGTTCAAAATGCAATATTATTTGCTACGTTAACAGCTAAAAAATATTCCCTTGTGATTTTATAATGGAAATATTATAAAAAAAACCAAATTTGTAAAATGATACAATTTTATTAAAACGGTAACATTGAAAATTTTGTTGTATGGAAAGGGAGGCTTGAAAAGAAGAAGGCAATGAACAGCGAGACAGTAAGGTAAACACAGAATATAGAATATAAGCTTTTAAATAAAAGCCATGAACTATAAAAAGCAGGTATACTAATTTTAACTCAGTTACCTATCTTTCCGTTCTATTACTGAAAAGAAAAAACAATTTTCCTTCTCCAAATGTTTACAAAAATTTTATCTCATCTCCTTAATTTTAACACATGGGAAAACAAGTGAGTGGGTCTGAAGTAGGTTATTTTTTTTATTCTTCTTATTCGGATTCTTATGTCTTTCCCTTTTTTTTTAAATCCACTTTTTAAAATTGCGTAGGAAAGAAAAAAAGTGACATTAAAGGAGAATTTCTGTTGCAATAGACTGCTGATTACGATGAACAAGATGATGATGATGATGGGGCTCAGCAACTAATTAAGTTAAAATGTTGACATTGTTTCTTAGGACTTGCAAAAAAAATGTTTTTTTTTTTTTGGTTTTTCATTAGATTTTATTTGACGTCGTTTTTACTATTTATTATGCGCTCCGCATTTTTAGGCGCTGATGATGTCTTGTAACAAAAATACTTTTTTATTTATTTTTTTTTTCTTTAGCTTTTTCAATACATATACATATATACGTACATACTAACTATTTTATATAAGCATAAGTTATACTTTTATATCCTTTTTCTTTCTACATGAGCTTTAATTTTATGATGTTTCAAAAAAGAAAAAGAAAACAAAATTTCTTTATTCATTTACAAAAGTTTATTAAGCAATGGCAGTAGTTCTTGCTGATTCTTGATGCTTCCACATCGTAAGAGAATTAAAAAATGTGTCGTTTTTTTCATTATGCTTTAGTTTTGATCTCAGTTTATAAGAATTTTGTAAATTCATAGCGTAATGCGAAACTTTTTTCACAAATAATTTTTTTTTTTTGTGTTGCTAAGATCCTTTTTAATATGTTTGTGATAGTATTTTATTCCGTTAGTTACTTTGAGTATTACAGTTTTTTTTTTTGAAAGTATCTGTGTATAAGTTTTAGTTAGTAGAGGTTGAAAAAAGCAGTGGTAAAGGGAAAAATGTCTTTTTTCCTTCATCATTATGATAAGAGAAATTTTCATTTTTTACTTTTTTTTATTGTTAAATTAAAACAAGAAAGCGAAATTATGATTATTTTAATATAATTTGGAAAAAAAAGAAAATTAATAAACTGAGTAGCGCTAGTGAGAAGTAGAAAAAGTTTAATAAAATTTTTGAAAAGCATTTTTATTCTTCTCTTTTTATCTTCACTATTGAATATCAATTTCAAATTTTTTTCGAAGAATATTGTAAAATTTAAGTTCATACTTATAATTGAAAGCAAATTTGTTGTTGTATTTGTGTAACAGATGTTAATGCGCTTTGGAATCTTTAAAATATGTTTTATATACATAAGATTGTGCGACTTGGCAAATAGAGTTCTTGGAATTGAAAACTATTAAAGGAAATATTTTCAAAGGAATCCAAAAATTAATAAAAATACAATATCTGTTTTTGCTTTATGTTTTTGCAAATTCTTTTAAGAAGTGATTAATACACTGTTAAGAATATTAATACACTGTTTATCAAAAAAAAATTTTTTCCTAATTTCATGCTTTATAATTGAAATTTAATCATAACTTTACGCTTTCGACGTAAATTTTACAAAGTATCAAATTCCAAAAAGTTTAGTAAAAGCTCTTGACATTGTAATACTTTCCTTAATGAGTTTTAAACTTTTCCTTAATGAGTTTTATATGTAGTGGAGACGTAAAATAAAAGTAAATCGGGTATCGAAAAAATCGAGCACGCATTTCTTATACCTTGTCATATAAATGTTGCCATAAATAATCAATTAAATAAATTAGCATTTATTTTCAGCAATAACGTGCTAGTTTTTAAGTTTTTTCCCAAAAAGGCAGCATAAACATGTAATGTTTTTAATGACTTAGTAATGTTTGTTAAAAATTAGCATATTTGCACAGAATTTTAAATTGAACTTTTCAAAAATTCCAAAAGGTACGAAAAGCTTTAGTAGTTTTACAATGTAAAGGTATTTAAAGCTGTGAGACGGTACTAGAACCGTATTAATACCGTACGGCGTACTTATCTCTTTTTTACAGCATTATTGAAGTCACGGTCTATATAAGTTCTATTACAATATTAAATAAATTTCTAACTATATTTATTTTTTCAATGAAAACTTCAAAAACAAAATAAGTGCATATGCTACTATTTATTGTACAATGATTAAAAATCGGCACATAAATTTTCCCTTTTTTAATCCAATATAAATACTATTTTTTTAATAGAAAGTATGTAAAAGAAATTATATAGAATTTGTATAAAAAGTAAAATTTGAATCTAAATACATTTACTTCATTTGGTTAATGCATTTGACCAATAATATGTACAATTATGGAAAAAAGGTAGAAATTTGTCTATCGTAGATAGCATATTTTGAAATTAGACTATGCTACAGATAAGCATGCATTGTATGGAAAAGACAAATAAAAACGGGTACAATTTTTTTACTACTGCACGTACATGTACACACGCATTCTTAATTTTTACAAAAATATACTTTTTCACCGCCTCGCATTACTGTGTTTTTGAGTTGCTCCATTTTGTTCAAAGATTTTAATTATTAAATGTGTTACATGTACGTGATGTCTAAAAAAATAGGAATCGAAATCAGGAAAAGATTGAAAGTCGTTCACTTCAAAGATTAACATTATTTTTTATAAAGAATAAAATATTTAATGAATTTTCATTTTATTTGAATGTGTTGTATGTTTTGTAAAAAGCCAAATTAAATTGCTGCGTTTTACACATTGTAATTTCTGCTAATAACGATTGATATCTAATAAATTTGTTATAAATGTATTTGTAAAATTTTATGTTGTCTAATACGAATGATGACATATTGAATTCCTGTTCTAAATCCCAATATTTCTGATATTTTATTGTTAAGTTAAAAGTATTTAGGATACGTTTACTCTGTTTAAATTTGTCATTTAAAACAAACGATTAAAAAATCTTGGATTTAAAAGTATAAATAATTGAATTCACATTTTTTAAAAGCGAAATTTATTTACTAAACTTTAACTAAACTTTTTGTTGCAAATATACGGGGTGTTTAATTGGTATGTGTAAAAAAGGATACCGAAATATATTATGTATTTAAAGTACCTTTATAATTTTTTAATTCAATTTGTGCAAATAAATTTTTTTACAAAGTTTCTTAAAAAAATAAGTTTAGTTCAAAAAATTTTCATATAAATAAAAAAAAATGTTACAACATCACAGAAAAAAAAGAGTAGAACATTTAGCTAAAACAATAGTATAAATCACCTAATGAAATGCTTGATTTTCAGCCTCCTAAACTATTTAGCTACATTGCCTAATTTAAATTAGCTGAATTTACTTTTTAATAATTAGGAAAATTAACCAAATAAATTTGCTGATTTATCTACAATACTAGCTAAAATACCTAAAAATTTAGGTGGATTAGAACTAAGCAAATAGTCGGTTTACCTAATCATTTAGTTGATTTATTTTAAAACCTTTTTGAAATTTAACTATAGAAATAGGAATTTCACCTAAATAAATAGTTAAAAAATATTCTCAACAATAGATAATATACCTAATTATTTAGTTAGAAAATAGAAAATATAACTATTTTTTAGTTAATTATAATAGGGTTTTTACCTATTATATTAGAAAAAGTATCTAAATAAATTAGGATCGTTTCTAAATTTATTTAGGTTTAATCCTGAAAATAAAAAGGTACTATAAATTAAAAATTAAGTTTTGTTTCGTTTAATTTTATTTTATCCAATATTTTTTCAGTTAATGTCACATTATGTTAAATGTAAAAACACAAAAGTTTTTCTAAGCAATACTCAACAACAATGATGATGGGTTTTGTATTTTTAAAATTATTGACAAGTTAATATTCCTCCTTTATAACATTGAGTTGTAATTTGATGAACGATGTGTGCTTAAAATATTTTATAAGTTTTAATATCGTTAATAAAAAAATAGAGTAAAAAAAAATTCAAAGTATTGTAATACCGTAAGGTGTAATGCAAAACATCTAAATTTGAAGGTTTCCATTGTTTTTTTCGTCACACGTAAGACTTTATGCTTTGTGGTTTCTAAAATTTATATTTTAATTATATAATTACGATTTATTCAGGATTAATATTATTTTTGAGCCAAATTACATTGCTTTAAGTTTCAGTCTCCTTTTTCTTAAACTGGGAATTAAAACTTGAAATTAATATTAAAGTTATAATAATTATTATAAAATTTATATAAAATTAAAATTACCTTCAGGCTGCAAATGTAAAGATTGACTTTTCAAAACTTCTACATCATACTAGAACTATATCTTCGAAAGTAAGAAGCTGTTTTTATTACTATTAACACGATTATCACTTTTTTTATTTAGTCCAATATGTACATTTTTTGAATATTATTTTTAATTTTTTTTTTAAATAATAATAATTATTTTTAAGTTAATTTCAATCACGAAAAATTTATTTTACAATAATAAAACTATGCTTATTTACTACGCCAATATTCAACATGTACTAATTTCTGTTCAAAAACTTCAAAAATTAGAATACAAAAAAGTAGCGGTATTTTGAATTTTTTCTTGATAAAACAAGTGTTTTTTTCTAAATTTAGCTAATTTTTTCGATATTTCAACTAGTGTTTTAGTTAATTCTTTTTTGAGTAAAATAAAGTGGCTGAATTAACTAAGGTAATAGTTAAAATATCTAGAAAAGTAGTCATTGAAGAAAAAAGTAACGGTATTTATTTCTAAGTAAAACATTTGATCTTTTGATAACTCAACCAATGTTTTCAGTAGTTCAACTAATGTTTTAGTCAATTTTTGGCAATAAAATGAAATAGCTGAATCAACTAAAGTTGTAGTCAAAATATTTAAAAATGTAGTCATTGATTAGGATTTTACATAAAAACTGTAAACTTATTTTTTTGTTTTCTTTTCTAAAATAACTAAATGTTTAGATGAAATATCTAATTAAATTAGTTGAACTTTTTCAACTATTTATTTTAGATAATACATCTAAAAGAGTAGACAAATCACCTAATCTTTTAAATATTGCATTCAACTAATTCCAAATAGTTGAGCCAGCTAATAGTGAATTTTAAAACAGCTAAAGAAGTTGTCAATACTTCTAATTGTTTATATAAAACACCTAATTTGAAACCAGCTAATTACGATTAGTTGAAAAATCTAATTCATTTTTTTCTGTGATTGAAATAACAAAATAATATTCCATTTTCATTATAATCTTTTTGAATTTAAATATGAAAACTTTTTTTTTTCTCATTTTATCTATTAGTTTTATTCTTCTGTATCTGTAGTATTTGAAAAATTTTTTGCTTAACTCAATATGCACATTTTTCTTTACGGATTTATTTAGTACAGCAACTATTCCCTAAGTATATATAAATAAATGAAATGTTTCTATAAATGTGCATGTAGTATTATATGAAATTTTAATAATTTATTTAAGTTTTTGATTCTATTCAAATGTCCTTTATTTATGAGATCCCTAAGTATAAAATATTCAATAAAATTTTTTACTAACATAATACAGTTCAGTTTTTTTAGTGTTAAAATATTTTCATAGCCCTCTCTAAACAATTTTCAAATATATATTATATATATAAACCATGTTATATAATATGTAGATATTTTTTGATGAATTTCAGGAAATGAAAAGAAGAAGATAAATACTTTTCATTCATAAAATATTTTAATATAAAAGGATTAAAATTAATAAACAAATTTACTATGTATATATGAAAATATATATTATTATACGTATATCTAAAAGTATTATAAATGTAACACATAATACAAAGAAAAATTAAAAGTATCCTTAACATTATTTAAGGATTATTATATGTAAGAGTTATTAAAATAATTCAATTAAATTTTTTTAAAATTCTACGGGGAAAAATTAATACTTACAATTAATTGTGACCAATGCTCCTATATTTACAGCATTATTAAGTAAAAATGTCCTGTTATAATTAGTCCTGTTATTGAATTCACTTTACCTAAAATGTGAATATTTTTCAGCTTTGTCTGTTTGTTGTAACACAAAACTACGTTTCACCTAAATTATTTAAAATTTGATAATTTTTTGATCTTTTTCAAATAAAAAGAAGTAAACGGAGCGGAACTCTTTGAAAGCTTTTTGTTTTAAAACTATTTAAATATTATTAGGTGCCTAATTTTTAAGGCAATTTTATATGTTTTCTATATCCACTTTCTCCGAATCTATAAAATGATGAATCTTCTATAATTAAGTTGGAAAAATAGGTTTACATGTTAAGGTAATTTCCTTTACGGTAATTTTTTGATACTCATAGTTTTCAACATTATTTTTACCAAATAACGTTATACATACATTATACATATATATACACACATTTTTGTATAATTAGATATTTTTTTTTGAATACATTTAAGTATATGGTTTTAAGATAACATTTTTCATTATAACACCATTCATTTGTAGTTATTTCAACAAAATAGAAAGGAAAAATTAATAGCAACAAAGGGACTTATAACTATTATTTTCAGACTAAGAGTTTAGAGACCTTTTAGACCAAAAAATTAATAGAAATTTAGAACTAGAAAAAAATTCATGCAACGTAGATATAGCATAACCGAAGAAAAACTAAATGAAAAATGCTGAGCTAAGGAATAAAAGAGGAAAACGGAAAATCTTAACAATAACTGAAATACGAAATAAGAAAAGTAAATAGTTAAAAAAAAAACTAATTTCCTTTCATTAACGGGAATTTGTTGGCACATTTTGTACACATTGTGAAAGTTTTTAAATCTGATGAATTGAGTATATATATACATATTACGTGATTAAAATATTTATGTTTATACAGGAAGAAATATAAATTCAGCTTCGTGTTGTCCAAATTACATAAAAATATTTATATATGATTATTAATAGCATCTTAATATCAATATTTCATTTACTATGTAAAAAATTCAATTTGATTCAAAAAATTTCTACGTTCCCTTTATTAGTTTAAATCATGCGTTCTTCACTGTCAAATTTCCATTAACATAGAGATTAAGATCATGCGCATCAGAATTAATCTTTGTTTTTTATATATTGTCCATTTGAGGCAGTAGCATATAACACAAACTAAAATAAAAGTCACTCTTGTGTTTTAAATTTTAATATTTAAAATGTATATATAGATTGAATAATCATTTCTCTCTTGCCGTAAATCTTGCGGTTTTTCAGAGTTAATATTGAAATATAAAAAATTATTTTTCTTGAAAATTAGATAAAACTAATAACAATAGATTCTATGCTGCTTGGTTTGCAAAATCTCTGTGGTATAATTAAATTTTTTACTTATAGCTATGTGTATACGTATATAAATATATACTCAACACTTACTTTGATTGTATACCTAGATTTATTTAATGAAATTATCATAACGGAAAATAATAATATTGCATTAATTATCTCCACGTTTTGTATATGCGATTAGTTTATTTTTTTACTTTGCAAACTTGGGGTAAATTTACTTATAAAATTCCTAGTT